TTTCTTTCTTTCTTTCTTTCTTTCTTTCTTTCTTTCTTTCTTCATCTCTCCATGCAATGACTGTTTATTTCCTGCTTTTATTTATTCTGTTTTTTTTCTGCTCTAGTGAGATAACATTTATCTTGCAAAACACTGTGAACTCAACAGTAGTTACCAACTTCCTGCTAAAGAACCAATTACAGTATCAGAAAGTTACAAAGGTTGGTCAATCCTGTAACTGTCTCTATAGTTACTGCTAACTTCAACGAAGCAAGATCTCTGTTCTCTTCTAAGCACACGGTAAGTGGCATGGATGTCAATCTTTTATAAGATTATTTTCTGCCAATATTTTAAAGAATTTGAGAGTTGACTAGAATTCTTCATGGAAGGAACTCTATTCATACTGTAAAAAAATATTACTTTCTAAAAACTGCAAAATTAAAGACAAGCCTGTGATTAATTTTACTTTTCAACACTGTGTATTATTTTAATGGCACAGGCATACAAATTTGTACCAGAAGAAAGTGGGCTTCTCAAATATTTTGCATAAGTTAAAAAAAATGTTACAAATATAGATGGGAAAATTTATTACCTACTGTAACAGCTTAGCCAGAAAAAGAGGAAATGGTACACAAAATTCAGGAAGAATAGGATTGGATTTCAAATAATATTGAGCTAAAGTTACCTCTGTGTCACACCTCTGTTTAAGTGGAATTTACTTGTGACTCACAGTTTGGCCAATTGTGCTCAAAAAAGTAAAGAGTAGACACTGAGAGGGACAACAGATGTTTGAAATTTAGTCAAGTGAACCTTTGTCATGTAGCAGTCAGTGCGGATTCACTGACACATGTCAATCAGCCCTGATGTGCCAATCATCAAGAGGTGACAATGGATCTATATACCAGTTTTGGGATTCTGTTCTAGGCTTCAGGTTAGCTCCACTCTTCACAAAGTTATTCCTGCTCCATTCTGGGTTGCTGAACTTACCCTGTTCAGAAAATGACCTGGCATTTGTATATGTGCAACATATTAATCCAGGCTGCTTTAGCCTGACTTAGTAGTTATGAGGTTTAGGGATTGGTGCAAACCAAGGCTGTTAGTTAGATTCAATGCATTCTGCAAATCCAGAAAATGGATTATCTCTGTGACTAAGTTAAGCATGCAGTGAAAATTCTGCCTGTATTTGGAAGGTGTCCTCTAGCTTAACTAGTGAGAGTAGTGGACAACTAAATCCAAGAATCCCTATTTTAATTTTCTTCAAAGCCTTGATAGCCAATGTTGAACCACTACTGTATTCCCAGAGCTTAGATATTGGGAGGTCTAGTTCAGAAGCATGCAAAATCCTATCTTTCCTTCTTTAACCACTGTGGAAAATTAAAATGGAACTCCTAGGCCCAAGCCAAGAAGACTCCAGTCTACACATCACTTGGAGTTCCCAAGAGCCAGACAGAAACCTAGCAGTTGCCCAAGAAGGTCATGCAGTAACATTAGTCATGGAAGTCTTTCTGTAGTATGATCTCTTCTAAAACATTTTCTGTAATACTGCTTTTCTTTCTCTTTCACCATTAGTTGCACTGCTCAGCTGATCTTCTCTGATTATATATACTTTCTATCTCTTTTTGTTGGTTTCCTGTTCTTTATTAGGATAATTTCTTTTTCCTAGACTGCAGGCTTTCACATATCACAACCAGAACTTCTTGAAAGCATTACGCTCCAGTCAGTTCTGCTGTTGGTTGTTTCTAATTTTCTTTTCCCACCTTTAATTTTTTATTCCCTCCATGTATGGCTCAACATTCTAAATCCTTTTTCAGTTTCAACCTTCCATCTTGCATCTGCATCAACCTTTTGCTAGGAAAGACTATGTTGGACACATCTGGAGGACATCTGGGGAAGAGTAGGAAAGGGTCCTCTACAGATTCATGAGATTTATTTCTTTGCCTGCTGAAAAAAGGGCCACATGATTATCTTATGGTAGTTGTTACTTGATTCTCATTCTTATCCATCAGTCGTTTGTCTCCATTTTCTATTCCGCACTTTCCTTTTCCAATCTATCTACATGGGTATCAAACTACAAGGTGGATCTCAGCTTTTTTAGGGTCATTCTATATTGCCTAATATTTTTAGGTGACCAAAAGTAGGAAACAGGAAATCAAAAACCAACAAAAACCTGGATTTCCATTTAGGATATAAATCTTTTTATCTTGTGATATACACTGACCTCTTGGTCCTTCCTAGTCATAGAAAGAATAATTAAGAAAAAGGTTGTGCTGATCAGCAAAGGGGAAAAATCACTGAAGATCCATATCAAGGTAGCCCTTTCATGAGAAACAAAAATGAAGGTTCATAAAATAGCAAAGTTCTCAGTTTCCAAAATCTCTTCATCGGGCAAGATAATAAAAATATCCCCTGGATGGCGGAACAGTGAGGGACAGAATAGGAAGGAGTTGATGCTTGATTCATGTCTGCACCCGGTTCCAATCTTATATGACGTGCTGGAATAATCTGCAACCATTGGGTCTTACCAGATCCAGAATTCATGGAAGATTTCATCCAACTCTCCCAAAAGCTATTACTCATGGGATTATTCACCGCAAGGGATGGACAACAGATTCCCTGTCAAACACCTTTTTGCAGCTTTCCTATCCAAGTCATAGGGGCCAGTTTAAAGTGGTGTTAGCCTCACTTTTAGGTTGATTTTAGTTAGGTTCCAATTGGGATAAGTGCTGAGCAAAGAAGTTCTGCAACACATCTACCAGTTTGTTTTTGAAAATCTTTCATTGAAGAGAGTTTTGGAGAAATGTTCACAGAGGAGTGCCATATTCTGGCAACTGGACATTCATAAGTTGGACAAGAAGTATATAAATAATTTGTGTTTCGCTGTCTAGGCATCTCTGCCATTGGAAGCAGACTCCCTGGCATCCAATATAATTCTTGAAAAAGTTTAGGAGTAGAGTTTAGAGGACCCCAGGGTTCTTTTTTCCCCAGTAGCAGTACTACAGCCTTTATTAAAGGAAGAGCCACCCTTGAGAAACTGGAGATACTCAGTTAAATTAGATATCACCTAATTTCTCTTTCCACCAATTGGCTGGAGAATTTTCCAATGCCATTTGTAAAACAGTCGGAGGCTATTCTGCAAGACAGAAAACTGCTATTTTTATGCCAGTCCATTTACTTCATTCCTTTTGTCTGCAAGTTATAAAAGAAATTGACTTTTAGCAAAGCCAAAGAGGTAAAGCACTGGGTATACAATAACGTATGACTTATTTCAAGCAATCAAGTAATTATTATATTGTGAATTAGGGCAGGGAGGAAACTTCCCTTATTAAGGTTGCTAAGTTTTCAGCATTTTGAATGCTTTGAAGGTTACCATTTTCCCTTGTGAAATAGCGGTATCTGTTTTGAAAGCATGTATCGACTAACTACTGATTTGATATCAGTATTTTCCCTCCAATAAATTGCTCAAGATCACATACAACACAGTTATTATTTACCTGACTACGACACTGAAGGGATGGAATAATGCCAGGGGAGTGGCATAATATCTGTGTCTATTCTACAGTGGTTTCAGGGGTATCTGCAGGGAGGGGAGTCAAAAAAGTCAAGATGGTAGCCACAACCATGCTATTCAAGATCCACCCTTTTTCAACATGAGCGGCCATCTTGGACCATTTTGACCCTCTTCCTGTGTACACCCCTGAATGTTTGAATAGGGGCAATAATGTGTTGGTCTGGGGCATATTCTCATCAACATTTTTATTTCTCTCATCTCCCAGTTCAGTTTGGGGCGGGGGTGGGGGGACACCATTCCATGCAGATAGAGAA